TACGGTGTTCGAAAACTCCGAATAGCCACTACTGCTTTTCTACTGAATGTAACCATATCACATTATTACATGACACATGATGGTCAGTACCATCCCTTCAAAATTTTTTTTTAAAAACTGAGACAAATATGTTTCCGTATACTTAAAAACATAAAAAAGAGATTTTTTAGGCTCCATCGTTGGTATTTTTGTGCCATATAAACCCTATCCTCAATCTCAACCAGCCGCCATTTTGTTGTATCTATAGATAACATCATCTAGTTAACGGTGTTAAATCATCATCCTCATTAACACTGTTTTCTATCTTGATTTTGGTTCACCTCATGGTATGGAAAAAAAATGATTCATGGTTTTTTCCTGACTCCTGTAATATGTTTAAACTCTCTAATATCATTAAACTTTCCGTATTTCAATAATGATATTGGCCTTCCCTGAATTATATAATATATATAAGTGACTTAGCTCTGCCTCGCTCACGCAACCTGTAAATTCGATAGACTGTAGGGTGGTTGGCGAAAATTGCAACAAATTAAAATGGTGTATTTTGTTTATTTTTTATACTTATAATTTATTTGGTTCAATATACCCACCTCTAGCATGAAGCTATTGCATGCTATTCGAAAATTGCTTTGCGGTATTTTGGCCCATTCTTGGCTAATTGCTTGCTTCAGATGACCGACATTTTGATATTTTTTAGGTCAAGCTTACTTTTTATAATACCTTAGACCGAGAAATCTAAAAGGTTTATATCAGGTGAACACGGTGGCCACTGTGTCATTCTTGGTTGGCGTATGCTTTGTGCGATGGTGGTGAGTCCGGTAGGTATGCTCAACACCTGTCACCAAAATGCTTATCAGCCCAGTGCTTCAGTACTCCCTCTAAAATAGTACTTCCTCGTCGGATAGATTAGGGCGTTTATTTTTAAACCACTGTCGATGAACACGAGCGGAAGCGAACCATCGGCCGTTACGGCGGTCCATACCATCACTATTGGCGCCTGCTTTCTAATGGCCATTTGTGGTTTTTAATTTTCAGCTGACCTCTCTGACAAGTAAACTCGTTTATTATAATAATTTGTTACCGGGCTAATTGGTCAAATTTTAATATAAATAAAAAGTCACTAATTTATTATTTATATTTAAAAATCGTTTATATTTTATTTCCGATATTTCGACTATCTTCGATAGTCATCTTCAGGGAAAACTACACAAAATATAGGATGTTCACATTTTTATAGCGGATTATAAAGAAAAATCATACAATAAATACAATAATAATGATGACAACAAGAGAAAAAACAACAATAAAAATACAAAAGAAAAATTAAAATTATAAAAAAAATTTTTATAAAAAAAAAAACAAAAAAGCTTTACAAACATCCTGTGTCATTTGTTTATAATATTCCTATAAGCCTGAGCACAGTTGTCCGTATCAGTTTTATAATTAAGTCTTATATTATTGGGCACTTGAAGTATTGAGAGCATTTCTAGAAAGTACCTCTTATTATGGTTCCTTTCTTCATATAAAATTTTTGCCTTATCAAAATCAGGTTCATGTTTATGCTCCATACAATGCACAGCCAATGCTGTATTGGCTTCAGCACCACTTTTATTTTTTAAACTGTGTTTATGTCCAGCCATCCTTGTCCTAAGCTTATTTTTAGTCGTACCTATATATATTTTGTTACATACATTGTACCCGTCACCTTTACAATTCAGCTGGTACACTACATTAGATTTGTCTTTATTATTAATTTTAGTTTTCGTATTGCTATATAATTTAGCTATTGTGTTTGTTGCCTTATGAGTAATTTTATAACGTTCCTTGTCATATATACTAGAATTCATTATTTGGTTTGACAATTTCGGAACATAATCAATGGATTTATATATTTTTTTGTCATTATTATTGTTAGGTTGGAGCTTTTTAAAGGTCTTATTAAGCATCATATTAATAATCCTTACGGGGAAGTCATTCTTTATTAAAATATCACGCACTATGTTCTTTTGTTCATTATGGAAAATTTTGTCACTCAGTACTAGAACTCTTCTAATAAAATTGGATGCTGTATTTAAAATCACGTGTTTAGGATGATTGGAATTATAGTTAATTAATCTTCCTGACGCTGAAGACTTTTTATACCATTGAAAGTGAATTTGGTTATTATGTCTAATTAATTCAACATCTAAATAAGGAAGCTTGTTATTCTTTTCTTCTTCTATGGTGAATTTTAAATTTGTGTGAAAAGAATTCAAAATTTGAAGTATTTGAGTTATTTTATTTCTGCGTATTATCGCGAAGATATCATCTACATACTTCGTTAATAATCTTGGTTTATATTCCTGGTCATCCACACACTTTTCCAATAATTCTTCCATCACGATATCTGCTATAATGGGTGATAACGGTGAGCCCATTGGCATGCCTTTACGTTGTTTATAAATTTTGTTGTCTAGCATGAAGTAATTATTTTCTTTAAGACAGAAATTTAAAATTTCGAAGAAAAGTGATTTAGTAATCTTAGTGAATGTCTTAATTATATTCCACTTCTTTTCCAAAATTTTAATGGCTAGTTCAACCGGTATATTCGGAAATAAGGATACTACATCAAAGGATACCATTATTTCATCATCAAATATATATGAATTACTGACCTTATTTTTGAAATCAATTGAGTCTTTAACATTATAAACCGAATGTATGGTCAGATTTTTTAAAATTGACGCTATATATCGACACAATTCGTATGATGGTGAGTTAACTGAAGAGCAAATAGGCCTAAGTGGCATATTTTCCTTATGTAATTTAGGTAACCCATATATTCTAGGTGGGTTGGCTGTATATGTACATAATTTTAGTTTTTCTGTTTTATTTATTATTTGATTATCAAAAAGTTTTGTGACTATTGTATTATTTTTAGTTTGTAACGTTGAAGTTGGATCTCTTCTGAGTATTCGGTATGTCATAATATCATTTACTATATTTTTAATTTCTTTGTCATAATGTTCTTTTTTTATAGCAACTGTTTTGTTGCCTTTATCAGATTTAAGTATTAAAATGTTTTTATTCAGTTTTAAAAATATTTTTGCTTGTTCCACTGTGCGCAATATGTATTTTTCCATAGGAGAATGTGTTATTTGTCTTTTATACCTTTCAACCATACCGATAAGTTGTGTTCTCGCTATTTCTTGCCCTTCTTTATTTTCTAAAGTATTAATGCAGTCTTCTCCATCTGTTAAATACTTAAGAAGTGGAAAGCTTTTTTTAGAAAGAGGTAGGGAGAAATTAGAACCGAGAGAGAGAAGCCACTGCACATCAGCTGGGAATTCTATATCAGTTTTGTTTATAAACCAGTCTTCTTTTATGTTTATGTCAAGCGATTTTATTAATTTAAGTTTTAATTTTTCAAATTTTTGATCCAATGAAACTCGTTTATTTTACTTGTTTATGTACTGGTCAATTACAAATAGTAACTCATCAGAATAAACCATTCATCGAACGATAGTCACTAGTGTTTTTCTATACACATATAAAGCAATGATTCTATCGCGTTTGAATTCTAAAACATTTAACTACTTTTCTGCGACAGAATTACTAAAATACCTTCGTACGCATATAAAGAAGACAATGATGTGTCAAATTAAATAATTTTAAGGCTTCTGTCATTATTGGTTTGACAGCTAGATCGGTGCGAAGTTTGTTGCAACCCTGTGTATGAAAAACTTAATAAACATGCCTCTCCTCTGAAGCAAAAATTCAGAAATCTATCCCCTATTAGTGTCTAGTTAATTTATAAAAAGATTATAAATTAAAAAAAAAAACAAGTTCCAAAAACAACATAAATAGACATTCAATGTAATAGATGTTTCCAAAAATAAATAATGACAGATATTTGGCGGCATCTAAAAAACTACACTGGTCAGCTCTAGAATTAATTTGATAGAGAGAATTAAGTTTTAGATTTCAAAGTTTCCCCACCAATGCATGAGTTTATTAGTGATTTACGTAAACTATCATATGTAAAAGAATGAAAGGATATAACTGCACACGAATTCTATTACTTCTAATACCTCTAATCTAATAGGCAAGTGCAATTTAATCAAGATTCTCAAATCTTGTTTGCAATTGTTTTTGTTGGACTTAAGCCATTTAATCACAATTTTAAATATTATTTAGGGTTTCGACAACTCAAGCTATTCAAACTGTTCTTACAGTTAATTTATTATATATATAAAGAGTAGTAATTGTTATAACTGTACATTCTGTCGGTACTTCCTACCTGTAGTTGGGTTGCTAAACGAAAAATATTTTTAAATACAATAAACAATAAACAATAAAGAATATATTTCTAATAATATTAAACATATTTAGCCATCTATATTGTATTCAATAAAACAGATACAAAATTTTTTGATTCTTAACAATGCCAAAGGATTTGCACATCTATATATTCGGAATAAAACTTCTACTGTCACTAAATTCGATTATTTTTTTAATTTCGCTACATAGAATTTGCTCTCAAAATATTTTCTTTTTACGGTTCTAGTACACAGTATTAGAATGAATATATTAATGATGAAAACGGCGACTTGTTTTCGATATTATCTCTGATAATGTGTTGGTCATATTTGATGTATCGGCCTTCAGCTTTCAAGTTACGAACGTATTGATGTAATTATATATCATATACGATAAATGGACCCCAATCTATATATATGTATATATAATATAACATATGCAGTTCAACTAACTTCACGCAAACTTAAACTTTTGTATTGGAACCATATACGTACTTCACATTGATACATTGATTTAAGGATGCAGTATGAATAGTTTAAGATGCCATTAACTAAATCTGAAAATATAATTATGAAAATTAATCGGATATCACAAACAAAATTGAAAAGGTTTTCATATTTTATCATTGCATCACTTTAGCCACAATCATTTAAAGACACGGAGTTACGGTTAAAACCACATCGATTACTCTTCTTTATTTCAAATGCTGCCATCACTTAACTCTTTTTTATTACTTTCCACACCCATAATCATAATAATATATGATTATAATATAATATCATAATAATATATCATAATAAACTAATTTTTCATTGGGATTGTTAGACACAATCTGGACTCTAAGACTCTGTATCAGTTTTGCAACTTTTTATATATGAGGTTATAAGATGAGTTTTATGAATTTTTAAAATTCTTAATCTGAATCATTATTTTTGAGAGAATTTTCCAACTTCCCCTTGTCGCTAAACCATGTACGATAATATTCTTTTGATCTCTGCAAACTATGGTTAACGCTATCATCACTATTAGTGTTATAATGGCTAGAGTGACTAGAACAAGTGGTACTGGTACTATAGAAATTGTCTTCTGTATCATCATTTTCTGAATCCGAATCGCTGCATACGTACCATTTTTTATCTTTCACTGAAAAATACATAGTAGTGCCTGGTTCCTGAGGAATATAATCCGGATATGATATAACTTCATTTTGTTTTCTACGTGTATTGTGATCACAGTTTTCGGAAGCGGTGGGATAAGAATCGGTATTTAGATCTTTAAGACGAGTATAACTGCTGTTCATTGGTTTATTATATGGTTCTAGTTCTTTCGGAAATGGTGCTACATCTCCTTCAACATACCATTTTTCTTCCAACACAGAAAATAGTAACGTGATGTCTTCATTTTGCTTTTCATTATTAGAACATTCTGGATACAAATATTTTAGTGTACTATGTTCCATTAGTGGACCAGATGGATATTTTGGATTCTTATTTGTTTCACTAGAGTTTGATTGTTCGGTTGAGGTATCAACTGGAGAAGTTTTGTAGTGCGAGAAGATGGCATTTTTCAATGATTGCTCCTTCATTGTTGCTTTGTTTTAAAATTGGTTTTGGAATGAGATTTAATAATCATCCTCATCTATTGTTTTTTCATTATCATAAAAAAGCTTTAAAAAGCAGTTAAACAGCGAAATTCAATATGAAAAAATAAAATTTATAGTTCAAAACAACACTGTGCTCACGTGATCTGTTAGTGCTGAAGAAGTAGTTGATCTTGTTTGGTCCGTTTGTATTCTAATTGATTTTTCTGCTGAAAATATGACATGTTGCGTATTATTTTTTGATGTAAGGATATGAAACGTTTCATTTTTCCGTTTCATCTTTTGTGTTTCCATCTTCCGAAGATGAGAATATTTCTTTAATCACAACTGACGTTTTTTGTGACGTTTCCATTTCTTCTTGCTGAGAAGTAATTACTTCTGAGATATTGAAAAAACTAAGTGTGAAAAGTTCATCAACTGCACTACATTGGCGTTCCAGTGCTTCAGCCATATTATTTTGTGCAACATACTTTTGCATTAAATAATAACATTAAATTAAAATTTATAAATAACCAAACGAAATATATGTGAAAAATATAAATAGTAATTTAATAATTTACGGATATGATCAACATGTCAAAAATGAAGGAAAAATGAGCTCAGTATATCTTTCGCGCCATATTTTGTAGCGAGAGCGCCCTACTGATTCTCTTGGCAACACTTGTATCTAAGACTAGTCCGATTAAGTAAAGCTTAGTCTCCAGTTGTAGTATTAATGATATAATTGATGATAATGGTTATGATGATTAAGTGTGCCTAACTGTATTAAGACTGAAGTACGAGGAAGTATTGAAATTGTGTTAGTTACAATTGATAATGTGGTTACAATTGATAATATGTGAAGAAAAGATATACTTATATAAAAATATTTACCTCTGTTTCAATTCCACACATTAGTTTCATTTTCTTTCCGTCAATTTTATAGGTAAATACAGGTTTCTGAATTGGAATGTAAAGGTTTGACGCTGGGAGTGTGTAAACCTCGGTTTTCATTATGACCGGTCTGCTAACTTCAGTTTCAGTCGGCATTGAAACTAATTTGTCTGTGGAAGTCTCATCTCCACTTTCTAAAATTTTTACATATTGATTATTTTTGTAATATGTATAAATATAACCTTAACAGAGGGCGAATGTATAATAATATACATAACATATTATAGTCAGTAAATGTTGAAACTCAAGTTTCTATAATTTTATTAGCATATTTTTAACAATGTTGCTACCAAATAATTTTATTACCTTTTGAAGAATCAGAATCATTACTACCATCAGCCATCTCAACTCTAATAACACCTTCTTTTTAGACATCCAACATTTCTCTATATGAATTGTTGTTACTTTGTCAATAATTTTTATGTACTGAAAATTTCTTGTCATGCATGTGTAGAAATAAACCTTAAAAATATTGTTAGCCAAATTTTTGAATATACCGTACCTGAAAAAAAATCTATATGAAATAAAATTTGTTTCGTTTAAAATATTTATTTATCGACCTTTTTAGCCAACTACATTAATTTTATATTTACATAAATATCTATTAAAATGTTTGCATATAACATGCATTGTAATATTAGATACATGGTTATATTTCACTTTAATATATTTATGTGTGATGGGACTCTTTTGTGTTTATATTTCTAAATTGGTGGAATACACGTAAGATTTAATGTGAACTAGGGATGTCATGGTTTGGCTATAAATTTGCTTTAGAATAACCATGGATGCGTTTCAATTTGTGGACTTGCGCAAGCCAATTTTCTATTTCTTACATGTGCTTGGATATGTGATATATTCGATTATGACAGCAGTAAATCAAGACTCTTTCAATCTAATAGCGGACAAAGTCTCTAGTAGACGTTCTTTTTTCTGACAACATCATTAATGCGAGCAAATAAGCATTTTGTTACCTTCGTTGAATTTATTTCAAGTATTTAGAAACAAATTTAAGTATTAGGTTCTTGTAGCATAAGTATTAATGAAAGAAATAAAACAAATATAATTAATGAATTTTGTTTACTTAAGAAAATTCTTAAACCGATGCTAACTAGGGGGGCTAGTACCAGTTCAAGAACTTGATAAATTTATCAAGTATTGACAATTATTCGTTATCTTGCTTATTTGTCGAGTTTGACAATTTGTCAAGGTTTTGGTGTTCTGCGTTGTAAATTAAAAGTTCTTTTCTTGATAAATTGTGAAGTTGACAAATACACTTGACACACAATAATACGTTCTTTACAAGAATTTTTTATTATTTGTACAAAATTGAGGAAAGTAGTTCCTTACAACGGAAGTAGATATGTTACTGTTACTGTTATTGTTAGACGAAGAGAAAAGTAATGAAAAATGATTTTTATATTGGAAAGTTAGATACTGTAGAACAGTATTTATGTTCAAGTACTAAGTTTTGTTGTCTATGACTAACGCAAATTATAAAAGTAATATTTCTTAGGTGATCACCATTTATATTTTACTTTTCTTAATGCAAAATTTCTTTCCAGTATAATTGCGAAAGTTAAAAACAAAGTGAATATACATTTTAACTCTTTAATTATTTTCTTCTTTTTTACATAATTTTAATTTAATGTGTACTCTGTTAAATTATGTTGTGACATTACACAATTTTTTGATAAAATGAAGATATTAGACACGATAATTTACAATATAGGTAGTTCTTATGGAGAGCTATCCTTTTTTCTAAATTAAAATTTTATTATAAGATCTTTTTGAAGGCGACGTCAAATTCGAAGCAAGATTATTGAGATGAATTTGTATTTGTTCATTGTATCTTTTGGCCACCTTTCTTACTTCATCTTTCACCGGAATTATGTTAAGGTGTCAATTGATTTTGATGTTAGTTACATACCATGGAGCGTTTACCATATCTCGTAGAGTTTTAGGCTGAAATATTTGAAGAATTCGATGTTGGATATTAAGGCTGTTTTAAGCACATTTCTCTATAAAAAGTTTATTTTAGATTTATTTTTTATTGAGTATCCAAAAGATTTTTATTCAGTATTCGGTATTGAATCCGAATTCAGCCTTTGAATATTGATGAATTTATAATTATTTATTAAAGTATTGTAAAAATATAATAATAGTTATAAAATTAATAAATTTTATAAAAATAATTAAAATAAAATTCTAAATGAATTCATGATTTTATAATTATATATTAAAGTATTGTAAGAATAAAACAATTGTTTTAAGTTTATCTATAAAAATAATTTAATTTTAAACATAAAGGCATGATATTAAGATAATAACTAGTATACCTATACACTATTTTTGATTTTTGAAGGCAAACCACTTTTCATAATAGTATGGTGAAAAGCACTATCTACTTGAGCTTTGAAATTTGTCAAGATTTGCTCAGAACAGCAGAAAGCTTTTCGCTTGATAAAAATGTTGATTAATTGTCAATACTTGACAAATTTGTCAAGTTCACAGTGTGGTAAGCACAATACAGTTACATATATATAGTTATCTTACATATATCTTCATTAATGATTTAAAATTTTAGTGCTAGATTAACATTTCGTTTCGCTTAAGAACATAGCAGCAATTTTATTTTAGTACACTTATTTGGTCTTTGTTTACACGTCGTTTGATATTGAAGTGTCTGTGAATTATTTCGGCATGAAAGACACTTTCCACATATACTACAAATAAAAAGCAAATGCGAGCAATATGGAGCCAAAATGAAGATATACTCTCACATATCCTCCATAAACGTCAAAAGCAGGAGGTAGTAGACAACGTAATACAAGTCCGACTAGCTAAGCTAGAACGAAAACTTAACGAAAATTCAAAAAAAAAAAAATGAAATATTATTTAAGAATTATGACATGGAATGCGAACGATCTGTTAAAACACCAAGAAGAACTAGAAATATTACTTAACATGGAACAAATCGATGTTTGCCTTGTGTCCGAAACACATTTTACTACACACTTTTTTATAGCATTCAAGAGATATTTCATATATCACACAATATGGTACATCCAGATAACTGTGCGAGAGGAGGAAGTGCTGTAATTATTCGAAAAAGCATAGATCATTATGCTTTTCCGTAAAAACAAATAATCACCCTTTGTCAGTAACTGGTATTTACAGTCCCCCAAGGCATACCATTACAGCAGAGGAATATAAACAGCTAATAGGAACACACAAATTAAAGTTTATTGTAGGTGGATATTTCAATGCGAAACACACTCATTGGGGCTCACGCATCATAACAACAAAGGGAAGAGAACTGTATAAGGCTGCAATAGAAACGGGATGTGAATTCATTTCAGCAGAAAAGCAAACTTACTGGCCGACCGGTCCAAATAAATTGCATGACCTTATAGATTTCTTTCTCACTAAAAAAATATCATCAAACTACATGGAAATCAAACAAGGTTTAGATCTGCACTCCGACCATTCGCCAATATATTTAACTTTAAGTGATACGATCATAATGAAAAATTCCGGTCCATACATGACTAATAAATCTACAGATTGTAGCTTTTTTAAACCTCTCAACTCCACTGACAACTTGTGATGAACTTGAAAAAGACTACGATCAGTTCATTAAGCAAATTCAAAGAGCGGCTTGGAGCAGTACCCCTGAGTATAAAAGAAAAATTGTAGGGGAAAACTATCGAAGTGAAATTATGAGTCTAATAAAAGAAAAAAGGAAACTAAGGAAAAGATGACATCAAACTCGATCTCCTCTAGATAAAAGCAGGCTTAATGAAGTTACTAAACGTTTAAAAACTGAGATTTGTCTTATCAAAAATGAGTCAGTAAAAAGTTATATTTCATCATTTGAAGTTGACAAAAAATTAATATACTCATTGTGGAAATCGACAAAATACTTAAAGAAACCCATTACCTTCACACCAACGTTCAAATACAGCAATGGAAAATGGGCTAGAAGCAATTAGGAAAAAACCGAAGCTTTCGAAAATAATCTGATAAATATATTTCAGCCTAATGATGTACATTGTGATGAATTATTGATTGTCAAAAAGAGTAGAAACCATCAAATCGATCCAATAACAAAACGCGAACTAAAATCAGCAATAAAAGACTTGAAAAATAAGTAGGCGCCTGGCTTTGACCTTATGACATCCGAAGTTTTAAAGCAGTTACCAGATAAAGCTGTTCGCAAACTATTAATGCAATTCAATGCAACAATAAATCTAAAATATATTCCTAGCCTATGGAGGATCGCAGATGTTAAAAATGATACCAAAAGCTGGTAAGCCGCTAGAATGCATATCGTCATATAGACCAATTTCAATTTCACCAACCATTTCGAAGCTCTTTTAAAAGCTATTCTACAAGAGACTAATGCCTATAATAGAATCCCAAAAGCTAATACCAAACCATTAATTTGGTTTTCGTAGTAAGCATTCGACTATAGATCAAGTACACCGCATTGTCGATGAAATTGAAAGGGCTATTGAGGGTAGAAAAGTGTGTTCTGTTGTATTCTTCGATGTCGCACAGGCTTTCGACAAAGCTGGCACAAAGATCTTTTGAATAAACTAGAAACATGTTTGCCGTCGTCATATTTTGCGATTTTCAAGTTGAACATTACCTCGAGGTTTTTTTTATATAAAACACAAAAACTGTTATTCAAATCTATCTGCGATAAAAGCGGGTGTACCTCAGTGGAGTGTACTTGGTCCACTACTATACCTGATTTACACAATGGACTTGCCAATAACACCTGAAAGTAAAATTGCAGCATTTGCTGATGATACTGCTATTTTGGTGGTTACCGACTCTGTTGCAGAATCAATAGCCAAATTAAAAACAACTACAGATTCGTTAGACAATTGGACAAAAAGATGGCGTACCAAACTGAATTCTGCTAAAACGGTTTATATGGATTTTACAAATAAAAAAATACAGTACTTTCCTTTTTCGATTCAAGGTACTCAGATGCCAACACTGCAAAATATCTTGGTATAACGTTGGACGCAAAAATTTGATGGAAGGAACACATAAAAAAGAAACGAGACGAGCTTGATATGAAGTTGCAAACAATGGAATGGCTGATTGGCCACACTATCTATGCAAAACAAGATTCTGCTATATAATCAAATTTTAAAACCTGTATTGTCGTATGGCGCTAAATTATGGGGAAGCGCTAGCCAAAGTAACGTCGAAATAATCCATCGTTTCCAGAATAAAGTTCTACGAAACATTTAAGAAGCTCCATGGTACTTTTGGAACAGTGATATTCACCGCGATCTAAAATTGTCCACAGTCGCTGAAGAAATTAAAAAGCAACAAGTTACAAACTGAGGTTGCAGCAACATGTAAACACAGAAGATGTTAACATCATAACCTCGTATGGACAACAAAGAAGACTAAAACGGCGAAATGTCGCTGACATGGCATTGAATTAGTATGTAAAGTAATTTGTGTAG